CTAGTTGAGTATGCCGAGTATGTATTGTGGATATTGCCAATAGAGAATTACCAGTAGATCTCATACTCTTAGATATGAATGATTTTGACGTTATATTAGAAATAGATTGGTTGGCTGCGTACCATGCCAATATAGATTGTCATAGAAAGACAGTGACTTTTAATATTTCCAATGACAAAGCCTTCAAATTCAAAGAGATTAGGAAGCCCCAACATCCATGTCTCGTATCTTGCATTCAAGCTCAATTACTTGAGAAGGGATGTATAAGGTATTTGGCTTACGTAGTGGAGAATAAAAGTAGAGAAGTCAATCTACAACAAGTACCACTTGTGAAGGAATTTTCCGATGTTTTCCCAGAAGATCTTCTAGGTCTACCTGCAGACTAAGAGATTGAGTTCTTTATTGACTTAATTCCTGGTATGAGCCCAATCTCTAAGACTCTGTATCAAATGGCGAAAGCTGAATTAGAGGAACTCAAGAAACAATTGCAGGAATTATTAGATAAGGGTTTCATCAGACCAAGTGTATCACCATAGGGAACTCTAGCACTATTTGTGAAGAAGAAAGATGGTACCATGTGACTCTGTATCAACTATAGGCAACTAAACCAAGTTATCATAAAGAATAAGTATTCGTTGCCTCGTATCGATGATTTATTTGACCAATTTTAAGGAGTCCAAGTATTCTCAAAGGTTAATCTATGTCTTGGATACTATCAACTAAAGATTAAGAAAGAGGATGTTCCAAGATTGCCTTCAGAACCAGATATGACCATTACGAATTTTTAGTCATACCTTTCAGTCTAATGCTCCTGTAACATTTATGGATTTGATGAACAGAGTTTTCCAGCTATTTTTGGATAAGTTTGTCATCGTTTTTATTAATGATATACTGATTTATTCATGGAGCGAGACTGAACAAGCGGAACATTTGGTAATAGTGTTTGGGATACTTAGGAAAAAGAAGTTGTTTGTCAAATTTAAGAAGTGTGAGTTTTGGTTAAAGGAAGTTGCCTTCCTCAGACATATAGTTTCAAAGGACAGAATATCAGTAGATTCAATTAAAGTGGAAGCAGTATAAACTGGAAAATGCCTACAAAGGTAACTGAAGTCCGAAATTTCCTCGGTCTAGCTGGATACTATAGGAAGTTTATTGAAAATTTTTCAACGATTGCTACTCCACTAACTCAGCTCATTAGAAATGACAAAAGTTTGAGTGGCCTGATAAGTGTGAACAAAGTTTTCAAGAATTGAAGAAGTGGTTGACAACCTCAATATTGACTATTTCTAACAGTACTGGTAGATTCTCTATCTACAGTGATGCTTCAAAGTAAGAATTGGGATGTGTGCTAATGCAATATAGAAGGAAGAGTACTTGCATTATTGTCTACTTAATGGCCTCAGAGTGGAGGCTCGTAGAGGAGTTCCAGAAATTAAATTTGAATGTCCGATATAAGAGATTAGGAGGATACCTAGCCAATGTAAAAGTACAACCTATTTTGATACGGAAGATGTCAGTAAGAAATTTAGACCAGAATTCAGACTATCGAAAGATGGTGTATTGAGATTTGGAAACAGAGCATGTATGCAGAATAATAATAGTTTAAAAAATGAGATATTAGAAGAAGCGCACTGTTTTAAATTTGCCATGCATCTTGGCAACACTAAAATGTATTAGAATTTGAGAATCAAATACCGATGGAGTGGGATGAAGAAGGATATAGAAGAGTTCGTTTCCAAATGTTTCACCTACCAATAAGTGAAGGTTGAACGTCAAAGACCAACAGGATTACTTCAACCCTTACCGGTAGCATAGTCGAAATGGGAACATATTATCATATATTTCGTGGTGGGTCTACCTAAAATAAGATTTCAACATGATACTATTTAGGTTATCGTTGATAGATTAACGAAGTCTGCTCATTTTTTGGCAATTAGAATGAATGACCCCACTGAACAAGTTGGCCAGTCTATATCAAAGAGATTGTGAGATTGCATGGCATTTCAGTAACAATTGTCTCTGATCGAGATTCCCGCTTTACTTCAAGATTTTGGACCAATTTACAGAATGTTATGGGGCTTAAGCTATCTTTTAGTATGACTTTCCATCTTCAGACGGATGGTCAATTAGAACGGACAATCCAAACTCTAAAAGATATACTATGAGCATGCGTCATTGAGTTGCGAGATAATTGAGACGATCATTTACCTCTTATTGAGTTCATGTATAACAATAGTTATCAGTTCAGTATTCAAATGATACTATGTGAGGCTTTGTACGGAAGACCCTGCAGATCACCTATTAGTTGGGAAGAAGTTGGGGAAACGACAATTTGTTGGACCTGAGTTAGTGGAAGAAACTACAGAGAATGCGAAATTGATCAGGAAACATCTTCTGATAGCTTAAAGTAGACAAAAAAATTATATTGACAATTGAAAAAGAGATTTAAAATTCGAAATAGGCGACCATGTATTTTGAAAATCGCACCAATTAAAGGGATCATGAGATTTGGGAAGAAAGGAAAACTCAGTTTAAGATTTATTGGACCTTTTGAAGTATTGGATAGAATAGGAGCTGTCGCCTATCACTTAGCATTGCCACCTGAGTTAGCCAACACACACAATGTTTTTCATATATCGATGTTGAAGAAATATCACCCATATCCATCACATGTATTCCGATACGAAACTCTTGCACTTCAGAGTAACTTATCATACATTGAGCTTCCTGTGCAGATAGTGGATCGCAAAAAAAGGATATTACGGTCCAAGGTAATCTCCTTATTAAAGATACTGTGACAGTATCATTCGACTAAAGAAGCCACATGGGAGCCAGAAGAGGGGATGAAGGCCAAATACCTACATCTGTTGGTGACTACTGGTAAATCCAATTTGGAGGACCAAATTTCTTTTTTTAAGGAGAGAGGGGGGAGGATGTGATAGATTGAAAATATATTCGAGTTAATTTTTTATATTTGATATATTTAATTTAGTTTTTATATTTGTTTGAAAATATATAATAAGGTTAAATACATAGTTTAAAGTCAAACAGAAAAATGATGGATAAAGATGAAAGAGCTGAAATAAACATGAAGATGCATGAAAAGAAAAAGGTGAGAACTTTTTAAATAAAGTGGTATAGTGAACAATAGTAACTTTTTAGGTGAAGTGATATAAATAACTTTTACATGAAATGGTATAACGGAATGGTGACAACCTTTTTCTCGTAACTTTCTACTCCTATAAATAGGGGATATGAGAAGGGATGAAGAGACATTCCGGATGAGAGAAAAATAATAAGAAGCATAGAGGTGAAGGAAGAATAAGGAGTATGAAGTGTGCAATTTTTTAGAGTGTTTGAGGTTTTAGATAAAATTTTTGAAGAAACTCTGCTAAATTTGTGAGAGCAGAGAAAGAGAAAGAGAAGAGGAATAAGACTCATGATCAAAAGTAAGTTATAGACCATTATAAAGGTAAGTTTTTTCTTAAGTTTTGAAGTTAGGTTTTTCTTTGATTTTTGAAATTAGTTTTTGAATATTATATTGAATATTTTTGAGTAAAAAAAGTGATTAAAAATTATTTCGAAATTCTGCTGGATTTTTTAGAAGAAAAAGTCGTAAATAAAGTCGGAATTTTGCCGGAATTAAGATTACGACTGCTAAGGATCTAAGGTAGGTGGATATTATGGATTCATAGTCTACGTATTTTTGAAATATTTTACGTGTTTTCAGTATAAAAATGTGCACGTGTTTAATTTGTCTTCCGTATTTGTTAAGTAAGTATTTGTTAAATTTTTACTTCGATATAAATATCATTTCGTTTTATGTTTTCGAAATGTGATTTTGATATGTGTGCATCACTAATTATGGAAAGAAGTTATTCCGAAAGCAGCTGCATTATGTTAGACTTCAATCTGTCCGTACATAACCGTTCTGTATTCGGGTGTATTGACAAAGTGATTAGTGTGTACCCATACATAACCGTTCCGTGTTTGGATGTATGGGGAAACAATCTGATCTACATGTTCTAATCGTTCCGTGTTCAGGGGATAACAGTATTTCAAGGTACTCATGTATGTTGTTATGTGTTCGGGTACGTGGGGAACCAGTGATAAATATCTGTGCATACAGATAATGTACAGTAATTGATTGATCCTCCATAATAATGATGAAGTATACACATGCATCTGTTTTCTGATTTATGTTTTCGTCTTCTGATTCGTATTTATTTTAGAAAAATTATATGATATATGTTTTATTGTGTGTAAAGAAATTATATATTGCATGTACTATGTTGTGATTTCATAATATCGTTTATTGTGATATTTTATCGCACCTCTATCACCCTCCAGATACTGAAAGTACCGTTGCAGAGTGAGCGGTGATATAAAGAAAATTTTTGAAGTTAGACTCTAATATTAAGGTTGCTGTTTCGTACTTTTGTTTAGTAATATATGTAAGGAAATTTAGAGTTTCGTACATATGTTTATGTTTGACATTAAATGGATGTAATGTTTCTGCGACTCTTTTATAAATAATAAAGTTAAATTATTTTACTTAACTTGAGTTTATATGATTTAAGTAAGTTTGTTCCGATCATTACTGTATAAGATAAGGTGTGGTCTATTTTAACAATGGTCTAAGGGTCAAAAATTATACCAGTGTAGAGTCATGCGCTAGCAAGTTCCTAGTACCATTTATATATCTTAGATGCATTACTGTTAAAATAACTTGTTGAACTTGAACCGTTCACTTTCAAAAGTTGAAGTTTAAGTTATTGGTAAGTAACAAGGAACTTGAGCTCTTATAGTTAAAAAATTTACATAACTTTTCTCTCTCTATTTTTCCCTTTTTTTTAATATAGTATAAGTACTCAACTAGATATGCTCTTTGCCCCACTTTTATTTGTGCTGTAAAGCCTTTTTCTTTAGGTCTTTTGAACATGTAGCTAACCATCATTTTATGTGGTGTACTTCTTGTAATTCAATATCCTTTTGTGTAGGGAGCATCGTGCTTCTAGGACATCTTTGTTTGATGGCCTTGATGGCCTTGAGGAAGGTCGAGTTAGGGCCTCCTCTTCATACTCTCACGAAATTAGTGAGCCTGAAAATGACAAAGCGATGGACAATTTGCAGGACAGAGTTAGTCTTCTGAAGAGAGTAAGTTTTGTCCATGAGTTTTTCTATCTTATCATTCAATTATATGTATGTAAGCTGTTGGTAACTGCCTTAATGGTGTATAATCCTTGCAAACGTCTGTTCAATTATATTTTCCTTCAATTGACAATCTTCGGCTCATGTGTAAGATGCTATGTCCATTTTTTGGTTAGTATCTAAACTTAACATAGTGTAGTCAAATAGATTAGTCTTCTAGAATGGTATGGACTCTCTCATGTTTCACAGTTCTAACAAGTATGTCTGAAATTTCTTGTAATCTTGTTCATTGATTAGGATCCATGGATAACTTTTCATTGTTAAGCAGCATGTTTACTGTATTTTAGTTTGATTTTTCTGTCAGGATAGCATATTTTTATCACTTCTCTTGTAAACATTTACTTGATCACTACGTGAGAATAACTTATTTGTCTTTCCGAAGTCAGCATAATCTCTAAGGGTGCCTACTTTTGCGTGTCTTAAGAGTTTCAGACTATATAATGACAGGAAAAGTTAGGATTGTTTTTTCATTCTTTTCTTTTTGAGATAAAAAGTATGTTGTAATTCATTCATTTACAAGCACCAAAAGGGTGTTTCCATGTACAAAAAATATTTAGATGTCAATCAAAATATTAATAAGGTCCTCAAAATCGTCTATTGTGTAAAGAGGATAACCAATAATCAAAATGTTTAGGGTCTGGAATCATCTATCTCCAATCCTATTAAAGTTGTCTTCCAATCCTTCAAAAGTTCTTCTATTTCTTTCTTTCTGCACTATCCAAAAGATAATAAGGGAAATAAGACTCACATGTTTTTTTATTCCACTAATACCCTTCCAAACCCAAATCTTGCCCCTCACCGAACCACCATCACCCAACTGATCTCCTATAGCCCATAAACCAAGGTCTATAGTTTATACACAAACAGACACCAAAGAAGAATATGATTACAGACACCAAAGAAGAATGGTATTTTTCCCATTCTCATCAGCTTGTCAATAGTAAAGATACACCCACGATTTGTTTTACATGCAAAGGAAGCAACTCTAGGTGGAGTATTAATTTTTCAGATTTGTTAAAAAGGAAAACTAGTGTTTGTAGCCTCATTTTTAGTCAGATAATTATAGAAGGCTGACCAGATAAGATCCTCTAGCATTGAGTTTACAAATAGGTTGGTTGTTACTCTCGTTGATTATAACAGTAGCGAGTGTATGGAGGAGAGCCTTAAAATCATTAACTTCCCAATTGTTGAGGTTTCTCATAACTTCCATTTGTCATTCCCCTTCCCCTTCATTGTCTCTATAGGACTTGTATAATTAGATATTGTTGTGTTTTACAATATCATAGGTATGGGGAAATTGTTCTGTGTGATCCCCGTCTTAACCAAAGCATCATGCCAGAAACTAACTCTATCCCCCATGTAAACTCTCCACCTGATACAATCCTGGAATTTGCTCCTATCCATACATATTTTTTTCCTCATTATTTTTCTGGGCGATCTGGTTGATATATCTGGTATACTACCCTTTATTCACAGTTACAAACTCGTCTCAATCAACATCCACCAGAAGGTACCATTTTCATTCATGAATTTCTAGAGCCACTTCCCCTGTGAGTCCAAATTCACCTTCACTAAAGATCTTAACGCCAAACCTCTCTCAGAGAAGTATGACCTTTGCAGGATTTTTAGGTCGACCGTTCTCATAATCAATTAGTTAAAAGTCTCAGAAACGCAGAGCAAAATGCATTGCATCAGCAGCTGACCAAACTGATTGAATTACAAAATACTAGAGAATACCAAGTTATTAACTCGGGAAT